CATGGACGTAGTCACACAGCGACATAAAAGCCTTCCACAGCTTCCTGTGTAGCGACCAGTGCCGTGCCAAGCGACCGCGTCTGTAGGCGGGATCACGTGCATGTAGATGCTGGTACAGACAACCACCGGTGCACGGAGTACTGGCCCACAAGTAGACGAAACCCCCCCTGCGAATGTGGAGAGTGCAGATCTGTTGAAGCTGCGCTGTAGTGGCCGGGTCTCCGCCGTCATCTGCCTCACTGACAGTCAACACACCAACCCAGGAGCACGCTCGCGAAGCAGCCAACATGCTCGACATGGGAGGCGCACAGAACTCAACCACCAACCACTTGGCAAACTCCATCAAACGATACCGATCTGCAAGAGATACATGATCCTTGCCAGCCACAGCAGCACCAAGCAAGCCAACGAAACACGCCAACTCACCAACGCAAGCTGCAACAGTGACTTCGGACAAACCAAGGCTCAACATGTGTTTCAACGTAGTCCGGGCATCTAACGATTTTGTGAAGAGGTCTGCGACGTTGGAGGCTCCTCGCACTCCGAAGATGAAGAGAAGTCGCTGTCGGAGCTGATCTTGTATAAAGCATGCTCTCAGATCTATATGTCTGACACGCCTCAAGCCGTCAGCCCGACTGATGGCGACGGCGGCCTCGGAGTCGCAAAAGAGGTGCGGTGCGCACAACTCCTCCCATCCAAACACGTGGGAAATTGCCCTTCGGATTGAAAGTGATTCCTTCGCTCCCTCAACCAATCCGTACAACTCCGACTCTGCTGAGCTGAGAGCGACAGCTTGTTGAAGCCGTGACCACGCTTTCAAGCAGAAACCACCAAGCATGATGCAACCACCACTCACACTCTTGCGATCAACGCTCCTCTCACTGCCCCATGACGCATCCACGTAGCAATCCAACCGAAGGCTCCGCTCATCAACTGGATGGACGATTTGTCGAAAATCCTGAACATGCCGGAGATACCGTAATACCATCCGCATCGCACGTTCATGCTTCTCACGTGGACTGGCCTGGCCTCGAGCTAGCATGGAAACATAATATGCTAGATCCACACGCGTCATGGCCAACCATGAAAGGCGTCCCAACGTAGAGCGATATCGAGCAGCAGCTTCTGAGCTCAACTCCCGCTCCAAGACTTCTTCTTCTCTGTCGTAAAGTTCTCGAAGATTCGGTGGCGTCGGGCAAGACTTCGGGCCCTTCCCAAGTCCAAAACCCTCATAGATCTCCTGGTAGTACTCGCCTGCCATGCCAATCACCAAAGAGTCCTCGCCCTTCTTCCTGGTGATCTGACGACCAAGAAACGTGATTTGCTGATCACGATCCAAATCAGCGGTCACCTTGATCTTCACCGCGCTTTTAAGCTTCTCCACCACGTAGTATATGGCCTCGTCGCTGTCGCCGCTGATGAGGAGATCGTCTACGTAGCACAACACTGCCACCCTCTGTCCATCGAGAACCACACCTGAGAAGAGGCATGGCTCCGTTTCACATGGAGTGAGGTCGCAGAGGCGCTTGAGGAGCTTTGCGAGATGACGAGCCCAGGTCTGGGCCGCAGCTCTCAAACCATAAAGAGCCTTGCGAAGTCGCATGAACCCAGGCCTTCCATTGGGACCGGTAACTCCAGCAGGGAGCCGCACCACTACCGTGCCGTCTTCTTCTTCTAATTCTGCGAACAAGAACGCCGTACTGACGTCGAGACCTACGACGTTCTGCCTCTTCGAGCCGGCATAAAAGAGGAAGGTCCTCAATGCCTCGGCTGAGCTGGTCGCCGCAGAAATGCCAAGCTGAGCAGCCGTTGCTCCCTGTGCGAAATCACGCGCAACAACCCGACAACGGACCAGTGGTCTTTCTTGGCCGTCAATCCGCTCCAGCTTCGCATTTGACACCCATCTTGTGGATATCACTTTCTGCTTCGGATCCACATGCCAAATCACATCACCGACTGCAAGGGATTCAAGCGCACTCAACTCACGCAACATGCCTTCGTAGGTCAGACCAAGGTCCAATGCATGTCCGGTGACATCATCCTTGGAAGACGAGGGCATTTCAACCACAAGAGTCTCACCACCAAGCTTCACTGTCTGTCCTCCGGTACTGGGATTTGCAACAGCGGCGAAACCCAACGACTCACGGAACAAGACGTTGTTGACCATGGCATCGGACTCTGGTTCTGGCACCCGATCCAGGCTTTCTGGCTCAACTTCCATGAAGTCAGCCTCTTCTGAAGCTGCAGGTTCAACTCCAACAGAGTCTCCGGGACGAAGTTCACCCTCAAGCACCCCTTCAGGCAAGAAGGACTCACCGAGGCCTCGCTCTCCCTCATCTTCAGTCGGTTCATAATCCTGCACATCATCAGGCAACTCCAACCCGACGTCAAGCTCACCAAAAGCACGCGAACCAAGATCAAGCTCAACTCCTTCGATCTCCAACTCATGCTGGGCATCATCAAGCACAAACTGATTCGGATCAAAAGAGCTCTTCACGTACGCAGCGTATCTGTCACGACACTTCTGAGTGTGCCACGCCTTGTCCGCCGGAACACCCCTCAATCGACACGCTCGACACCTCGGGGTCCTGCCATTTTCCTCGACCCACGATGCTGGCGGTCCGCGAGTCTCGGTGTTTGGGATTGGAAGATCACGCATGTTCCCTTGGTCAACCGCTGGCAAGCCACGCACAACGTCACCAGCACGCTCGGGCAACATACGACAAATACCACGCAAGGCTGACAACTCAAAGGTCATGGGCACCAACATCCTGATTCGGGCTGACCGAGCAATCTTCAACGAACCATCCTTCAGTCGGAACTGCACCAGATGACTGCCACCCGCGACTTCAGGGCCTAAGTACGCAGCCTGTCCATATCTGCCCGTGATGGATTGTCTTAGACTCGGTGGAGGTGTGGCTAAGATTGACGCTCCCCAGACGTATATCGCCCGAGGCTGCCTCATAGTTCTTAAACTACGTTGTTCAGGAGTCATTGCCGATCCAGGCTGAATTTGGTAGCGGTTGTGTGCCTGAGCACAGTGAGAGAGAAGAAAGCTAACTCCTCTGCCACATGGCTCTAGGCCAACTTGCTCCAGTCCGGCGCACAACGTGTTCGCGGTTTCCTTCAATGTTCGGATGGCCCTCTCTGCGACCGGGGCGTGCCGACCAACCGGAACATCAGACACCTCAACCGCACCAACGGTCATGGTATCAGCGAAACCCTGAGCAAGGTTCTTCACCACCCCCTCAAGGTCCGACTTCACGCAAACCGACAAGTCACGCGCTTCAACTCCAACCAAGCCAACACTACGTCCCCACGCCGACATCTCTCCAAGCATCACCTCACGCGCTGCTGCTCCACGCGGTCCTGAAACTTCACGGTACATCACTGTTCCGATGGCAAAGCAACCAACAAGCACCAACACCAGGAACCAAATCCCCTTGTAGAAGAACTTGTCGATCTGAACCTCCTTTTGGGCTCCCTCTCCGGAATCCCTCTCGATTTTCCTAGCTGGTTCAAGGCCTCTACCACGCACGCAATGCTCACAGCTGGAATTAAAAGGAACATGACTTCGCAACACATGCTCACGGTGAACCTTTCCCCATAACTCCTGGTGAAGCAACTCCTGATCACCACGTAGCAACCACGCCTGGTCGCCGTCTGGGGCCGGTGCTTTCTCCTGATCAAGCTCACCAACACACACATGCTCAACCATGCCACTCATGCCAACCATGCCACTCATGCCAACATCACAAGCGCAAGCACAACCATCAAGCACATCAAGATTTTTGCTGCTCGCCACTGCCTGGGAAGATCCTTTCTGGCTGACTGCACTCAGCGCTTTCGGTCCGTCACCACACTCCATCCACTCGAAGTAGGCGTTCCGGGATTGGTCGGTGGTGGTGGCAATGGCGATGTCTTTGGCGGCGTAGCTGGTGCCCGTGATGCGCTGGCCCTTGGCGATGTCGGATTCCTCGGAGGCGTGGGCAAGCGTCGACGTGGCGGAACCCGCGGAGGGGTAGGCAACCTTTCCGGGTACCCCGGGGAGTCGGCTTCCTTCCTCGGTGGGCTCGGGGGCTTTGCTCTCTCACAAAAGTTGGGGTTTTATAGAAAAAGATTAGATATAGAACGCAATCTGTGTACAATTTATTCCTCATGATTGGAATAAGCTTTGGCGAAAAGATCTTGTGAAATCTCAAAGTAATTCCATCTTCTACGTACACATGTGAAACTCAATCCCATATATGTGTTGAAGACTCATTCGGTTACACTGACGCGCTTTTTCTTCAGTCGTGGGGCAAGCATGCACAGGATGCGATCTGGTTTCGCGATTTCCTGCTCTCCCGAAATACCCCCCAGACAGACCCAACACTGAGACGGGTGGGTGGGAGGGACAAAAATTTTCTCTCAGCCCGAGCTTGAGCAGCTGTTCACATGAATGCGGCCAACTGTTGATTCAAGCATGCTGCAAGTCACACAGTTGAAAATGTCGTTCAAGATGCTGAGGAAAATTCTTTGAAAACTTGAACTAATTTTGCAACTCCCAAAGGTCACAAAAGAACTCTAAAACCCCGCGCTCGAAGGTATAGCGCTACAACTTTAGTTTGAGAGAGAAATGTCAGGCAAGCTGAAATTTTCCCTCTCACAAAAGTTGGGGTTTTATAGAAAAAGATATAGAACGCAATCTGTGTACAATTTATTCCTCATGATTGGAATAAGCTTTGGCGAAAAGATCTTGTGAAATCTCAAAGTAATTCCATCTTCTATGTACACATGTGAAACTCAATCCCATATATGTGTTGAAGACTCATTCGGTTACACTGACGCGCTTTTTCTTCAGTCGTGGGGCAAGCATGCACAGGATGCGATCTGGTTTCGCGATTTCCTGCTCTCCCGAAATACCCCCTTTTTAAGAGAGCTATCAGGTAAGTTCGAATGCTTGCCGAATCCATGGAAAAGACTGACACGCAGCAGCTCCCGAAATTCTCAGAGCCTCCTCAGGCTTTTTTCGAGAAGGCCCATCGGCGATGTTCGAGTAACTCGGCACACGACATATCCAGGTATGACTTGGATTGGCATCCTCGGCAGCAGCGAAGCTCCTGATCAACGTGTCCATCGTGTGGGATTTTGAACGGCCTTTTATGAGCCAATCGACAACCTTCATTGTCTGTCCAAATGATCACCCGGCGTCCTGAAAAACGATGAGCCAGGTGTATCCGCATGGCCACGACAGCGTAGGTTTCGATTTGTCCAATCAAGTGATCACCGTCTGTCTGTTGAAGCGACTCGACCATGTCCTTTGGCATCTCGCCTCCATAAACTTCTGCAGATCCATCGTGTGAGTCGAAAAACACAGCCCCAACTCCGGCCACACCTTTTTCCCAGCTGCCATCTGTAAAGAGATGCACCGGAGAACTCGGCATGTCTGCTTTGAGCTGGAGGGGCTTAGACGATTCCAATGCAGTTATGGCGCGTCGACAAAGCATCTTAACCGCAACAGGGGAAGGGTGATGTCCATGATGCACTATGGCGTTCAAGTCCTCACAGACATAACGTAAAGTTCTGCCTCCGAAGAACCCAGCCGCGTACCGCAGGAGGCCCAGAAGGACCTGGCCCTCGTGGCGGCTGAGGACTGCCGACTCCTGGATCTCTCGAAGGCGCTCAAGGAGTCGATCAACCCGGCCGAGCTTGTTAGCCACTGTCAAAATCCCTGAAGATATGCAAGAGACGTCGAGATGCAAGCCCAGCACGTCAAAGGATTTCGCAAAGGGGAGACCTTTGTGACCCTCACCAATTTCGGCATGTTTCCAACCCAACAAGTGCAGGAACTTCGTGCATAAGAGGCCCACCTGTTCAGCATCTTCCGAAGGCACAAGGATTGGATAGTCGTCGAAGAAGTTTGCATGAGGGATCTCCAGCACGACGTTCATTAAGAAGCTCAAGGCCCGAGCTATTCTTAAGAAGGCATAGACTGAAGCTGAAGCCCCAAAAACCAATGCTGAAGAAATGAAAAAGATTGGGTGGCCGTCGGCATCACGCAGAAGCAGAACACACAAGCTCCGATGTTGCTCACAAACTGCCATCTGTTTGTAAGCACCACTTAGATCAAGGCATCGGCCACTCCACTCTCTAGGTACGACTCCCGGCTTTCCCACGACGCGCTTTGCAATTTCCATAGCCAAAGAGATGCAAAAGTCACCGTCCTGTAACTTTAGCTTCATGGTGCTGGTGAAAGTGCTGTTCAAGTCGGAATCGCAGGCGTCGTCAATCGGCCTCAGTTTGCCTCCTTGTCGAACGCCGAATCTTCGCATCAAACTCCAATCCGACCTCCCCAAGTGCTCTGAAACTTCCTTTTCACTGCTGAAAGGCCCCTGAAGCCATCCAGCCTTTGCCTCGTCCATAGTCACCTTCAGCAAATCGCGTTCGAGCTCGGGGTCGGAGACACGATTTTCCAGAAGTAACGCTGCTCGTTTCAAGGGAGCCACTTGACGGAGTTCCGCTTCGGTAGACGTAGCAGATTTCACTTTGACATCAAAGGCCGCAGGGCATTCGGACACACCCGACAACCTCACCCCCGACTTTAGAAGCTCGATCGCCTCCATGTCGTCAAAGTTGTGCTGTCTCAACAATGACTCCAGAAGTAAGATCCTCTTGCCTTGCATCACAGTCTGCATCCACGATGGCATAGCTGAGTGAAGCTTGCTCTCGTCTTGTTCCAACTTTTTGGCAAGGATCTCTGCCTTCATCAGTGCGAGTTTTCGACGAAGAAAAAGGGCCCGGCGATCAGCAACCATGTTGGCCTCAAGGGAAGCCTTCAGCCCCTTTGGGAGTTCGTTCTCGGAGTCAAGAGGGTGGTACACTTTCTTGGCAGCCTGGAACCACTCACTAGGATCTCTGTAGAAACCAACCTGGCAATCCTCACCCCTATCCAGACCAAGCCCCTCACTGTCTGGAGAAGTTTCAGGAAGAACTTCGGCGGCCTCCCCCGAATCACCCCCTTGCACGGGAGGCGCGCCGAGGACCTTGCAACCGGAGGAGGGAATTTGGCCGCGCGGCATGATGCGCACGAACTTGTATTCGGAAACCAAGGGCTTATGCTTACGGGTTTGGCGACCCACGGCGGACAGAGACTGCAAACGAGGGTCGGGGGCTTCCGGCTGGCCAGGGGAAACGTCGCAAGCAGACGCAAAGCAGGCGGCCCATCGAGCCGCCAACACACCAGGATACTGGGCCTCGAGATGAGTGGACCAAACCCAACCTCCAGCGCGCCAGCTGACGCCCCAAGGTTCATGCACATGACGGCCGCTGCAACGGGCACGAAGGCAGCCAAAGGCATCCCGATTGCTGAGCAGCTTGGTGGACTTTGGGCGAGCACCACCGTGCTCACAAGCGTCGAAGAGGATCTCATGCAAGTCATCAAAGCCAGCACACTCCAGAACCACGAGTTCGTGGGGTTTTCGAGAGTGAAGACACAGTCGTGCTCAGCGCACCAAAGCAGGACATGAAAGACCAGGTCATAAAGACGATTGGCGGCGGCCAAGCGCAAACCATCATCGCTTGCAGGGTCAATGTGAGGCAAGCCGAGGGGAAAGTCGGCGCTCCGAAGCGGCCGAGGGTCACGGAGGCCGAGGGCTCGTAACTTTGCCGGCAAGGGCCGCTCACGGGCCCGAGAAGAGGCGCCACAAGGGGGGCCCAGATGCACCGCGGCAGGCTTTTTGTCACTCAACAAGCGAAACAAGGCATCGCGGCCCAGACTGGAAGCAAGGTCAAGGCGAACCGTGGGAACCTGAGGGCGCCGGGGGCAGTTGTCAACGGCAACGGCCGTGAACCCGAGCCTCTGGGCGGCTCGAGCCAGGTTTGCAGAGCCGGAAAACACCTCGAGAAAGAGCTTGGGTGGGCCAGGGATGGGCAAGGCGGACGGGGAGGGTAGGCGAAAGCCAAGTGAGCGTAGCCAGTCACGGTCGGGAGGGGGAAGCTTAGGACTATCCCTGGGGGTGAAGGCAATCAACACAACCCTGCGGCCCTGCCAAGGCAAAACAGCATGGCGGTTCACGGCGGCATGAAGCAAGACTGGCTCTGCGGATACCTCATGCAGACGCCCCCAGAAAGTGCCAGAAGCGTCTTCAAAGCGGTCAGCCCCGCCTTCGCATTCTTCCCAGATTTGGCCATTGCGAAACCGGGTCAAGGGGATGACAAGATTCCAGGAGGAGCGGTCGTTATTGCAGTCCACATGAAGCGGGCTTTGAACATCATCAAGCAAGACTAAGCTGGAAAAGGTGTGATGAGGATTCACTTGGTGAACATAGCGGCAAAAGAGAGCGGCGCTCTTTGGAAAAGACTTAGTGTCAGTACGAATTCCGATCTGGGACCCGAACACCCAGGCACCGCAACCAAAGCTCCGGTGATGGAAGGCATCTCGTTTAGATGGATTCCTGGGCAACAAGTCGAAAACTCTCAAAACATCAAGGGCCGCCAAGGTTGGCTTGCGAAGCAGTTGCTCGGCAAGGGCTTCGGGACCTAAACCAACGGAGTTGGCCTCAAAAGGCACGGGCGTGACACAATGCGGAGAGAGCGGCGCAGGCTCCGGGAGCAGGATGGAGCCCCCCGCCCGGAGTCAAGATCCCTTAGTGCACAGATGGCCAGGGTGGTCGCCACCACACCCGGCTCTCCAACAGATGTGGAAACCACGGCCGCAACGGTTCTTGGAGTTGACTCGAAAGCGGCACCTTCCTTGATTAAAGGCAAAACATACAGGCTTGTCGTTCACGCGGCTCACACAGCCTTCGGGCACCGTGAACTCCTTGCGACCCTCACCTTTAGACGACTTGCCCTTACCCCTACCTCTCCCTTTATCGCCCTTCTCACCCCCTTTGGGGTCATCCCATTTGCGCTTGCCTGGCCAGGGTGCAGAAGGAGGAGGAGTAGGGAGAGCATTTAGGTACTGCAAAACCTCTTGGGACTCGGACAACAGCTTGATTTGGGTCTCCAAAGGCTTCTCGCGGCCGGGCTCGCCGGCGAGTTTTCCAAGGAGGGCATGCGAGGCCAACGTGAACAGGTGCCGGTCGGCAGCGATGAGTTGATGAGTGGTTACCTTGGAATAACCACTGGGCACAGGCCTCATCAAAGCAAGGAAGCATTTGTGACACCACTCCTCAAGAACCTGAAAGCTGCAGAGACCCGCAAGATCATAGGCCAGCGAACGACGAGTCCAAGCATTGCGCAGAGCCAAGTCAGTGTGCGTGTCACAAGTGGCGGACTCAGCCTTGCTAGCCATTTTCAGGTTCCCTTCGCCATCTACCACCACCTGCTGGTCTTTCTTCAACTGCTGAGCTTCTTGGGCACAGCTGATGATGCGATATGCTGGCAAGTACTGAAGGACTCCATCCTCCAGTTGTTTGACGAGAGTATCCACGACAGAATGGGCAGGCAAGGTTTCGGGTGAAAGAATGAGGCCCGTGACCCGCTTCTTCAAGGCTTCCTGGCGAGCCAATCGCTCCGCATTTGGCATAGCACGAACCACCGCTGTGTCAGCGGCAGGCTCCACGCGTGCCCTCATGTCAGCCACGCTCAGGTTCTCAGGTTCTGGGCTTCAAACATCAAACGTCTCACCTATAGAGGACTGATCAGGTGGGAAGTCATGGGGGAAAATGCTTCCCATCCAACGCTTCACATCGGCTTCATCTAGTTGCGTCGGTGTGGTTGACACAGCAAAGGCCAAGGTCCCGAAGCTCTTGAAGCCCGCATCGACAAGGGTGCGAATGGTGGATTCGCTCAATTTGACATTCTGGCATCTCTCCAAAAACCAGGCCTCGCTGTCCACCGCGATTCCAGCCATGGCTCGACTCCTAGCAAGTCGGGACAACCTCGCTCCTTGTCGGGTTGAAGCCCAAAGCTCGACTTCGGACAAGATGGGTATTGCAACACAGTCAAACGTGTCCGCGGTTTCCCAGAGCAGAACCCCATGCTTTTATCATGACTGCGATTCCGAAGTGCTCTGACGGTGAATGAAGCCTCGGCTCCCGCAGCTGGGTGATTCTCGATAAAGATTTCGAGTCAGCTGGAGTAGGCATCAGATGTTCTCCCTCAAAGATCTCGACTTGCGTTCGAGTGGGAGCGACATCACCGATTGTCAGACTTCGGTGCGACGCCTGAGATTGGCTGAAGGATCTATCGTCTGTGCTGTTCACAAGGACAAATGCACTCGTTTTCCTTCAAGATTTCGATCACTCTGCAGCCTCCAAAATGTGCCGGCATTGTTTACAGGGGTCGGGGTCCTCAAAGTACACCCCCGCCTCACTGAAAGGAATATGGTTCCTCGAGAGAGGTCGGCCACACCACAAGTTGGCTTGATCCTTCAAACAATGCGTTATGCCGGACACAGTGTGCACTACAAGAGATTCCTCGGAAACATTTGGCCCAAAAGGGGCCCTCACTAAGCCTCCCCCGCCGCGGCCTGGAGCCTCAGAAGCTTCAGAGCTTTGTGAAGAAGGGGGGTCCTCGAACTCGTCAAAATCGTGTCGTGGAACAGGCGCCTCGGGTTCCGTAGCAATGACGTCATGGGCGGCACTAGGCCTCTCCGCTGCAGCCACTTGCACCACCCGATCAACGTCAGACAAGTCAGGGTCATAGTCTCCCGCGCGAATGGCCTCGAACATCGCCATGACACGGCCGTACAAAAGGGTGTACTGCTGTCTGGCATAGGTGGCGGGTGATTTCTCCTTCGGAGCAATGTGGTGTCCAAGAAGGCGCTTTTCCGCCCCACTGAATTTTGGGCGAGGACAGCGGCCCGCCCAAGAAGTCAACGTGGCCTTCAAAGAATGTGTCGCCCTCTGCATGGCTTGGTCTTGATCGATTCCCTTCAAAATCAGAAAGTCCTGGAGGTAGCTGGTCGCCTCAACGCTTCCCATCTTGACAGTGCTCCAACGGTTTTGGCTCTCGAGGCGTGACGGCAGCGCAAAATTCTCAAGAGAAAGGCCTTCATGTTCGCGAGCTTTTAGCCAGGCTTTTGCCCAGTTATGGCCAGACAGCCCGCAACCAAGTGCTGCATAAGGTAGCAGCCGGGTTTTTGCCTCCTTGGAGACCGTCGTCTTGGATGTCAAGCCTGAGGCAACAACAAGGATCACGCCGTTGGACTCCTGAATTGAAATCTCCTTAAGGTTCTGTGAGTCGCTCCATCTGTCAGCCGAATGCGTGCAAAACAGCAACTGTCCACAAATGCACGCAAGTACTGGTCCAGTTTCCACGCAAAATGCTTCCAATGCCATCACCATGGGAACAGTCAATTCAGGTTTCTGTTGCAAAGGACGCTTCATCAAATACAGATCCCGGCTTATCCCAAGCACCCGACTGGAAAGGACTGTATCAGGCTCCATATGCAGCAACTTGGCAACCCCGTGCACAAAGCGGAGGCCTTCCACAAAATGCGTCATACTAGTCGGCCTGGCGCCTGAATCACGCAAGAAGTTTGCATACATATATATGGTCGGCTCATCGACTGCCAGAGGGCTGTCTATGCTCTCTGTTGTGCACCAGGAAAAGTACCTCAGGAGGGACCCACCTCGCTTTGAGATTGTCCCGGAAGCTTTGGTCCTGAATGCATCTGAAAAAGTCTTCTTGATGGCCTCCTCGTTTACATCGGCACCGAGTAACGACAGCAAGGACCTTCCCAAGCTACTCACCTCTGGATCCCACAAGATGACCAGCCGCATCTTTTTGAGAGCAGCTGTGCGAATGTCTTCCTCGGACCGCTCCACAGTGATGCGTTTTAGGTACTTGACTGTTGTGGGTGGCACACACCTTCGCTTTGCTTCATCTTCGGATTCCTCTGGATCAAGAAAATCGTTTGCACCAATCACATGCAAGGGGTTCGTTCCTCTTTCCCAGGAAAAACGCAAAGACGAAGATGATTCCCATGAAAATCTCGGCCTGCTCTCAAAACGCTGTTGCGAAGTGGCTTCCACAGCTGCACGCTGGAAGTCGCATAAGATTCTGTCTTCTGGAAGAGGGACCAGAAGAGATGCGTCATCGATCTCCTGAAAAGAATGGCTTGCGACACGCAAAGTGGCACTCAAGAAATCGTCTGTCTCCAAGTCACGACAGGCGTCGTACCAAGCAGCTTCAGAAACTGAGGTAGGTGCACAAGACGAAGGCGGTATGTGTGGGCTGAACACAGGCTCGCTGCCCTGAACCCATTCTGGGTCGACCCAACCCTCTTCGTCCACTGGAACCCCGGGCAAACCCTGAAAAGGCCTACTGCAATCGACCCTGGAGTGACTTCCCAAAGATTCGGTGTCTTCAAGGGCTCCCGACTCACCCCCTTGGAAAGAGCCCTGAAGAGAACGAAGCAGAAACTGGGCTTGCTCGTCGGCTGCACGCAAATCGTACTCGGTTCGGTCCACCACACCTGCTGGGCCGAACAAGAGCCAAGGGTCGAAAGCGTCGGGCTCGGAAGGAGGATTGGACATTCCGCAAGCGGCACCTTAGTCGGACAATTGAAGAAGAAGGCGAGCACACGTATGCGGCCGGCGGCCGGAGCAAGCCAGAGCAAGCCAATGAGGAGGGTTGAGGAACAAAAGGATCCTGGATCCTTCTCTTGTACTGACCAGCACGCCACAGAAAGAGCTTTCGATGACGTACGAAAAGAGACTGGGAGGAGCGTCCAGCTGCCGCTGAAGGGAAGCGGTATGAAAGGATCGAGGCCGGATGCAAACCGCCTGGAAAGGCGGGGCTGGCGGCACAACAGGCCAGTCCCAACTGAGGGAGCTGCTCGCAGAGCTCGAGTCGCTGTCCATCCGCCGAGAGCTCACAGGCTCTCGGCTTGCACGACCCCTAAGGGGAGACCAGTAGCACCTCGAACCTCTAGCACGGCACCCTTACAGGATTAGAGGAGGCTCAACGAGGGACGCAAAAATTTTCTCTCAGCCCGAGCTTGAGCAGCTGTTCACATGAATGCGGCCAACTGTTGATTCAAGCATGCTGCAAGTCACACAGTTGAAAATGTCGTTCAAGATGCTGAGGAAAATTCTTTGAAAACTTGAAATAATTTTGCAACTCCCAAAGGTCACAAAAGAACTCTAAAACCCCGCGCTCGAAGGTATAGCGCTACAACTTTAGTTTGAGAGAGAAATGTCAGGCAAGCTGAAATTTTCCTTCTCCTTGATGATCTCGGAGATGGTCGTCACAGTGTAGGGGGCCTTGCGGTCCAGGCACTGCAAAAAATGCTCCTTGAGGTGCTCCTCCAGCGTCCTCCTCTCTGGGCCCTTCTTCTCCTTGCGAAAGCGATTCAAATCGGACTTTGCAGCTGACGTCATGCGGCTTTCCTTGAGCTTCTGCTTCTTCACTGCCCTTGAACTTGCACTCCACAACGTCAACCACGGCTGCTGGCGAGGCACCAGCTTCACGGGGGTCCTCTTTGTCGACGAAGAGCTCGCTGCCTTTGGCATTCTCTTCACGAGAGGCTTCTGGGGCATCTTCTTCACTTTCGGCTTCTTTGGCATGGGCTTCTGCTGGGGGATCTTGGCGGGTCCTGAGGTCTCGATCTCGCCCGGCTTCAACACCACCTGGGACTCGGTCTCCGCGGGCACCAGGAGGATCGCGCCCTCCGTCTCCGTGGACGTAGCTGTGGCCAACCGGGTGCTCTCCTCGAAGTCCTCTTCTCCCACCGAGATTGAGGCCGCTTGAGTCGCAACGACTCTCCGGACCAGCTTCCCTTTGTCTTTCCCTTCCATGCGCCATTCCACTTCGCTCTCGCTGGAGGAGGCCATCTTCTCGGGCTGCGGAAGGTAAACTCAACGACGATAGGACTGGATCTCTCAACGGCAAAGCAAACGCGAACCACAGCACTCTTCTGAACCCCTATGGAAGCACCCGTGGCAGTCACACAGTCTCTACCAACGTGCTCACTCAGGCTCAGCACTTGCACATGCTGCAGTGTCTCCTCGCTGATCAGGTGCGTCGACGCTCCGGAGTCCAGCAACCACCAGTCCATGGCTTCAGAGCTGCTACCATGTGTCACATGCGGGGCTGCCATGCTCATGTCATGAAAATAAAATTCACTCAATCCATGCTCACCAAGCGTCAACGGGGCCTTCTCAAGCTCAACGGGGGTCTCTAGGCTTCCAAGCTGCGACGTTCCAAGCTCAACTGGGGCCTTCTCAAGCTCAACGGGGGTCTCTAGGCTTCCAAGCTGCGACGTTCCAAGCTCAACTGGGGCCTTCTCAAGCTCAACGGGGGTCTCTAGGCTTCCAAGCTGCGACGTTCCAAGCTCAACTGGGGCCTTCTCAAGCTCAACGGGGGTCTCTAGGCTTCCAAGCTGCGATGTTCCAAGCTCAACTGGGGCCTTCTCGAGCTCAACGGGGGTCTCTAGGCTTCCAAGCCGAGGTTCCAAGCTCAACTGGGGGCTCCGAACTCTCCAACAACCACGACCTTCCAAAGGCTTCCCAGTCACCATCGCTCAAGCTCGACTCATTGTCGGAATCTCCCTGAGCGATATCAAAGAACTCGCAACCAATCGCCGCTGCAAACACACGCGGGCCCTCCAAAGTCAAAGCCGCCAAC